AAACTGTTGGTTGACTGGGCAGAAAAAAAAGACAAGAAAAGCGTTCGACAGCGCGAGTTAGAAATTTTGAATTCCCTCCAGTCTTTGAAACGTAGTCGACCTGTAACAGAAGAAAAGGGAGCAAAACGGCAAAAATTGGAGGAGTCCAGAAGTACGAGTCCAGCTAGTCAGCCTGTAGGAAGACCGAAAAGTAAACAGTCGGCATCTTCTGAAGGGAGCCAAGAAGAAGAGACTTTTCCTGCCAGCGTTAAAGCTAAAAGTGATGCTCCTAACCGCTTTTGGACAGCTGTTGAACCTTACTGCGCTGACATAACAGTTGAAGATCAGAAATTCCTTGAAGAATCCTTGAAACTTCCGGATGATGATCAAGAGTATTATAAAATACCACCTTTAGGGAGACATTATGGAGAAAAATGGGCACAAGAAGATCTGCTTGAAGAACAAGAGGAGGGTTCCAGAATGCAGGAAAAAAAGTTACGTGGGACTTTAACTAATACAACTAGTGACAATAACAATAAAGCAAGTGAAGAAAAATCTTTACTTAAAAAGGCAGATTCTACTGGACTAGGAGAAGAAGATCTGTGTCCATTTGGTAGTCTTACTCAAAGATTAGTTTCAGCTTTGATTGAAGAAAACATAATTGCACCCATTCCTGAGCAGAGCTCTGGATCTGGCAGCTCTGACAGTGCAACCACGAGGAGTGGTAATAACCCCCCACGCACCCCCACAAAGGCACCTCATGTACCTCATACTCGCACTTTAGAGGCACGGATTAGAGAGGAGCTGATATTCCAAGGATTGTTAGATGCTGATGATCAAGCAGATGAGGAAGTTGATGATGAAGTTTTAGCTGAGCTGAAACGCCATCAGAATGAACTTCGAGTCCTGATGGCAAAGAACAGACAGCACAAACTAGAGCTGTCAAAATTAACGCAAGAGGAAATGAGGAGACAGGAACTCAAACACAGAGCACAGGTTGCTGACTCTGAAGTTATGGAGTGGTTCAGGAAAATGATGGCTTTGAAACAGAAAAGAAAATCTCCAACAARAAAAGAAAAAGAGGCAGCCTGGAAGGCTCTGAGAGAAAGGGAGGCAATACTCAGAGTCCTTGGGAACTCTTGAGTTTGTAACAATTTTGAACTTCAGGAGCTGAATTATATGCA